GTCATGGGAAGTTTGCTAGCCATAGCTAGACTCGAGTCTAATCCAGCCTCCTTCTCTTCCTTTGTGCCTCTTTCTGCACTCCTCTCTCTCCCTCTCCAACGGCCACAAATTGTTTCTACTTATTTTTCGACACTCGTTCCTCCTATTCAGGACGTTGGCTGTTTCATTAATTTATATAGACTCCCTAATCTTACGCTTTGAGGTGAAGTCCTCGTAACCAGCGGTCTATTGGGTCTTCTATATTAACCATGTGCTCAACAAACTCAGATCTTTGGATCCATAGATCTTTACAAGCAGTTTTGTGTTCGCATTGTCGCTTCTGGATGGGTCGACAGGTCTCCCCCCCATAAGCCTTACCACATGAGCACCACACCTAGCAGCAGCCTTATCTAGAAAGAGGGTCTGAAAATTCTCTAAACGAAGGAACAACTGAAGAAAGTGTTAATTTTTCTTCATACATTGTTTTCATGTTCCACTTCCTCAGTAGATCCCCCAACATTTTCGCAGACTGACAAGAAGGCAAAATCAGGAAACGAGTATAATGTCCCAATTGTCTATCCTGCCTCAGATAACAAACTCCCCTCAGCTTATTATTGACAATTGATATCTAATGGACAATTATTTGGTAAGATTGATAAATTTAACGGATAGTTTCCCAGAGAATACTAGGTTTAGCATTGAATTACAAGTAGTTCTTTTGATGTATTGTCATGGAGAAACAGCATATAAGAAGAGGAAAGCTAATATCATTCTAAGGAAAATCAATGCGAATGACTAATTAGTATCAAGGATATACAAAGAAAGAGTAGTAGTAGCTGTTGCTAGGATTAATTATATAATGAGCTTAAACAGACATTAGACGATAATACAACATGTAAGACTATAATTAGGGATCCAATAAAAGGTAAGACTAAGCGGTCTTCTTTAACTGTGTAGGCATTGGAGAACTGGAAAAGTGGAAAATGGACGCACTTCTTCAGCGAGAAGCGGGACCCTTAAACGCGTATGGACTGCCCAAAATTCATAAGCAAATTACTCCACTTAGGATTATTGTAAATATTACAGGTAGCTTGATGTATAAACTATCACGATTTATATGTACTCAATTAAAGAAAACCTTCGAAACTTGGAGGTTTTTGGTAAGAAACTCTTACGAATTTATAAAGTTAGGAGGTTTTGAAAATGAGGCGAAGACGTTTTCAGTGAGTGGAGTCAGCTCGGATAAAGAATTACAATTTGAGGGCCCGACATTTCATGCGATGAGGGAGTGGGATTGGCTTACATGATTCGAGGATTGTGACCAAATGGGCTAATAATCCATTTGAGATGCAGCAGGTGACCAGAGTGACATGCCCACAGTTTGTTCAGGGCACACGGGCTCATTCGAGGAGATGATGCGTGAAGGCAATGGAAATCAGAACCTAGACGCTCTGAAGATGAGGCAACTTTGCATGTGCTACAGAAGGCTTGAGAAATAGCACCGAAAGGGCACATCTCTTGTGGAATATCAACATGTCAGAAGTGATAGCCGGTTGGAAATAGATAGATGGACCAGGACAGAACGAGAAGTGATAGCATAACCGTCTCGACAAAAAGTTGGTCAAGAGATCGACTTTATTTGTTTCTATGACGAGTTGTAGCATGTGGCTGAGACTGGCAAGACTCACTGAAGATGCCGATTACGAAAAGTATGGGAATGTACCAAGTCCACGGTCCGACTCTGGAAATGATCATGCATACTCTGGACTCCGGACAATGTACGTTCCTCTAGGTCTTCCTGTTAATATGACCCAGTTGAGAAACCAAGGTCAAACAACTTTTATACAACGAAAGGAGACCACGACTATACAAAAGGCCACACCATTCTGGTTTTCATACCTGTATTAAGTTAGATGATGATCAGACGATAGAAAGAGGAGATTTACTAGTAAGTTTCGATGTACATTACCATTCCGACAAACGAGGCAATGAATGTTTTGTAATTAACTCTAGATCAGCAACATTGCCACGGTTGCCCTTGGGTCACAGGGCAGAAGTAAATTTCAAGGAATGCCAGGTATTTTTTCCATATAATATTGTTTGCCGGGATTTTTGATGAAGCAAAGCTAAGGCAATTGTCTACGTTTCCCATTTTTCGTTTATGAATAGTGCTTCGAGGCTATAAGGAAATCACTCATATATGCCCTATTTCGTTGAAGTCTCGAAACCCTACTTATGGACGAAAAATAAGTAATGTAGTCGATTGTCATAACAAATATAAACGAGAATCATTGACAATCCCACCAAATAATACGATATGGGAAAATGCCTGGCCTCTCTTGAAACCCACTTCTGCCCTGTGACCCAAGGGCTCTCGTGGTCGCAGTCTCCTTTCACTGTTAGAGGTGGTTTGACCTCGTCTTCACAACTTGCTCATGTTCTCACGATGACATAATTTGGCGCACCTTGTTTGAAGGCGCTGGACCGTGGACTTGGTATATTCCCAGACATTTCACCGGTAGCGTAGGCGTAATCCCCAGTTAATCTTGCCGTTATTTGAACATTACTAAAACTAGTCAAAGCGGCAAGTCAAGTCAATTCCTTGACTAACCTTCCGCCGAACGGTTGTATTATCCTCACTATCCTGACACTTCTACCTACACCCTATTCTAGCGTCTCACTCCCTCACTATTACAACTTCTGATTCCTTTATATTTGACTCCTCCAGAGGTGTCTCCCTTTTGGAGAGTCAATTGGGGCGTTAGCAAACCTGCTCATTTGCCTTGCTCCCTCTCCATCTCACTTTGTCGAAATACTTGATCCAACTCTGGCCAACCATCCGAATCTCCCTGATGGGCAAGGGGATTCGTTTTTTAGCCTACTGCTCTACTCATTTCACTTTCAGTCACCGTATACGTTTTACTCAAGGCTTTTGGTAGCACATATACTGTTGCCATACGGAGCAGAACAACTAGGCTCCGATTACCATGCTTGCAGATACTAGACATTCTCTTTACGAGTAAATTATAAAAGTTTACCCCTTAATCCTATTTTTCATTTATAAGTAGATTTGCGAGAGTGATAATTGAATTTTTCCCACAATTATATGAATAGGCCTTAAGTCTCCATTTAACATCACATAGCCTTGCTTCCCAAAAGGTATTTTTACTCTATACGGATTGCAGTTTTGACCCCACCTAGGCCTTATCAGAACCCCCAGGGTACTCGAACTCCGTTAATACAACATATAGAATCTCGACACACTGACGGGACCTATACGAGGTCGTAACTACAGTCCACCCTGAATCAGAATACCTTTTGGGAAACAAGGCTATGCGAAATTCAATGGAAATATAAGGCCTATTCACTTCCTGTTGGGAAAGATTCCATTATCACTCTTTAATAACCTTAAATTAACTAAGGTGAATACATCTCATTTTTACTTAATCCTTTTTGATGAGTGTATGTAAAAAATGACCGAATAAATAATAATGTTTTTTTTTTACTAAAACAGATGGCCTAAATTGATATGAAACTGCTGTATTGTTTAGCTTTAGCCGGATTTAATCATAATTATCTTTTTAAGTATGCTTTGCCTATTCATAAGTCCTAAATGATACAAGGCAATATATAATTGTAATGTAAACTAACTAATACAAAAGACAATATAGGAGAATAAGCAGTCCGTTATATTTAACGTGCCTGCAAAATGGATTTAAAACTGCTGGTAGGAAGCATAGGAGAGCCTAGGCAAAGAGAGAGAGTGCCAAATAAAAGGCAAGAAAATCGTAATTACTCGTAAACTTAAACAGAATCTATAATGGCGCCTAAATCAAAGAAATTAATAGGGCCTTTTAAAAATCTGTCAGACAAGATTAATATCTTCCAGAAGGCATATTGGATACAATGAGCCGAATTTATTTGTATTCTATTGAAGATTGTTTTTGATGGCACTTACTTTAGATTAAGAAAATGATATTGTAATATATACAACCGTTGTCAATGCCAGTATCATCCTGAACATTGACTAATCCGGTAAGACAACAGTGTTGTAGAATATTTTAATCTAAACTTAATTATGAATTTCAAGACATAAATGCAAGTAAAAAGCATAAATACGATAATAGGCAGATGAAACAATTATGAGCCTCTTATAAAGTATTATATATATATATATATATATATAGTATTTAATGCTCAAATTTGCTTAACATACTATGCATAACGCAATCTAGTTCCATGAGCCTGTATTTTATAACTAAAGTGCAATAGTATGAATCATAGCAATCAGAGGATAGAACACTGATTTATATTCCGCATTCTATACTTTTTAAACCAAGCAAGGACCATCAACACAGTGAATACAAGGCTTCTAAAATGCAATAAAGATTAAATAAACATTTTGCATTATAAAATCCCTCTCTGGATGAATTTAAGTCATTAGCGATTATAAAGCAAAAATAATCTAAACTATATTCTATCTGGGCCTATATAAACAGTGATCTTTTCAAGAAATAATGCTTTTTCTTAAAATCGAGAATTTCGAAGATATATATTTTATTCATTAAGAAGTGGTCGTTATATAAGAAATGAGACAACTTCCCTGATACCATACTCATTAGAGTTCTACTAGTATTAGAAAATACTTAAATCCAATGCGAAGCGTTCTATATTCAATGCTATGAGATAGATAATTTAGGAAAAGTCAGCATGGAAGGCGAATTTTATTCACAGACATCTTTGGATCATCTCCTTTTCCTAAGATTTTAATAGATTTAAAATGATAGTGGTCACCAGTTATTGTGTTGCGTAGATCTATTCTTTAAAAAGGGTTACAAAAGGTTATGTATGAATAAATAAGGGTAGGTATGCACTTTTTGAATTTTCATCTAAGAAGTTGAGAGAACTAAAAATACCGCACCGTTTCTTATTAGACACATCTGCATGCTACATGAGAAAACTTGAAAAGGCGTAATTTTTGCTTAGGTAAAGGTTTATCTGAGCTTTTGATTTCTATCCCTCTATCTTAGCTTCAGCGAGTGGGGAAAAGTTTTGTATGTATAGTCTACCGATTCTGGTCTCAGCAGTCCAACTATCAACAGCCTGTCCATCCAATTCATTCTAACCGACTGCAGCGCGATCTCCTTATCGCTCCAAGGAATATTGGCATCAATCTCTACGGCATCAGCGGATGATGTCTGGTTTTGGATATAATCTGTAGTAGTTGCGCTATCTTTGAGGAGAGAGATCGGACTATCAGTCTCACCATTATTCGAGGGCATTGAATGGGGCTCGAATGATCCAATGAGGGAAAAAACGGCTTCAAATTCTTGAATTTCTGTAGAACCCATGTCTGCTTGTGGCGGCCATTTTAATCCAGTAGTTGACTGTGCGGAGAGAAGGAAAGCATATATAGTTCATGTAAAAGAATAAGGTAAGTTTCAATTTAAAATTGGCATGGACTGAAAGAAAGGGTAATTTGATTTATTGGTCGAGACAAGATTTGATCTGAGGTACTTTGATATCGAAAGAACCACAGCAATTTCTGCAAATCAGTCTCATGATTTTAGAAGTTTGATGGGCCTGAAACTGAGGACACCACCAACACTATGAGGCACTCAGCAAAGTTTTCAACCTACGTTAGTTTGACCCTTTTTTTCCCATTTGGCTGTTACCAGCCGACTTCAAGGAGTATAAATTATTGCGTCCCATTTTATTGTGACTATGTGCTAGCCAGCATCATTAAAATGTGTCCTATTCAGCACTTGAGTTCATTGCGTCAGTGACGGATTGGATTACTAATATTAATCAAATGATGTTCAGCAAGCATGAAACTCTTCTTAACGTTTGGCTAATCCCAACTTATTCTTTCACCATTTCCGTCCTGTGGATAATGGCTTAATTGAAGGCACACAAAAGTCTCGGTTTTAACATATGAACATATTTAGCTAGTTAACATTGAACTTTAACGTTCATTTAATGAGCATTTTTATCGAATGACAAAAGAAATTGGGCAACCAAAAAAATATAAATAAAAATTTTACATATAAATAATCAATATATTAACTTCGCTCTCTTATACAGCTGCATGTCTCAAGACGATTATCGGTGCCAATTTATAGGCTTATGATGATCAGTTGCTGAAAATATTATTACTTTATTATGACTAT